GCGGCGAGAGGGGCGGCAGAGGAGCCCGCCCGGCTGGGAACTCCATGGGAATCGGCTTTAGCGAGGCCAGGATTCCGCGCAAGGTGAAAGGGCTGAGAACGGAGCGTTGCTGCCAAACCCAGCTCCTTCCTCCCCTTTTCCCCCAGGGGAACGACTTGCGGGGATGCGGTGCTGATTCAGAGGTGCGGGCTGAACCAGCCCGTGCTGGGGCTGCCGGGCCTGACGCGGTTCCCGCTGCGGTGCCGGGACCGAACGGCGACCCGGGCGGGTTTCAGCCCTGCCCTCCTTCCCCCGCCCCCTTCCCTGGGCAGGGAAAAAGAAAAGGTTAACCTTATTCTAATAGAGCATCTCCCGTAGTTCTTAATTCATCTGAGATGTAAACATCATTTTACTTTTATTATTTCATTTTTTATCATCACAATGATCCAGTGGAGTTTTGTTTTGGTGTTGGTTTTTTTTAAGAAGAACTTGTAAATGAATGTATTTGTCTGAATATAGACCAATTTATTAGAAATCTTAGTGGGCTATTAAAACTTTTATGCTATCTGTTTCAATGCCTTAAATGTCAAAAAGGAGTCTGAGCCTGTAGGGATGGATTTATCTCAGCATTTTAAAAGACTGAGGGACTGGCAACCACTCTTACATTTCAGGTGGGGGAGGGTTAAAAGATGGCTTTTTTCCTGGAGTAAACAGAACATTTTCTTGTCTAAATTAGACAATCATATGTTGCATGGGTGTTCTATTAATAGGAATCATTAACCAAATGGAGATGGCCTCATTACAGAAACATTACCAGACATCATCATATTCCTACAGTTTAATTTCTGTATCAGAAGTGGTGGAGCCTCTATTTAACAAACCCCTCAAGCTTAGGCTCAAATCCACTTTTGCTCCCAAAGAGTTTTACCTATGATTGCAGTGATACTGGAACTGTGTGTGTCATCAATAGGACATTTGGGTTTGTCATATGTAAAATCTGTAAACTTTTGTTGGAAGGCTGGGTTTGCAGAGCCAGGCCATGATTTCTGAGGCAAAAGTCTCATGCTGCTGTAGAACAATGCTGCCTCCTGATATTTTACATAATTGATTCTGTATCAGAGCTTTTCTGCAGTTAAATCAGCCCTTAGCCCCAAAAACTGTTTCTGCAGAGATTGTTTCAGAATAAAGCATCTCTGCTGGTTTGGTTCTGTTTTGTTTCTAATCTAAAGTTGTATCTTTCACATATTTTTGCTCTGATAATGAGTTTCCCTCCATGGCTCCCAAAACAAACAGCTGGCTGAGCTGGGATTGCCCTTATTTGTTCAACTGGTTCGGAACAGCAGCTCTCAAAAATGTGGATGGAAAAGGAAATACCAAACATGCATTTGATTTGAGGTCTTACAGTTTTAAGGATTCAAATCTGTAGCTTAAAATTTTAGACGTAGATAAAACAGTTTGTTCTGTTTGTGCAATCCATGGATTTTTAAGGCCCAAAGGGACCATTAGGACCAACTGACTTCCAGCACAGAAAAGATGGAAGACCAAATGCTGCCTGCATCAAGTCTGCACCTCTTGCTCAGGCCAAATGATGTGTTTCACAAAAACAGCCTGTTTTGTCTGGACCTTTGTAAAACCACTCAAAACTACTTACTGGCTTTAGCTGATCTACTTGCTTGCGTGCAGAATTTTCACCTATCTTGAAACAATATGGAAGAAAGCATCAAAAGAATTATCTGACTCTAAAACCTGTGCTAGGCTGGTGCAGGATTATTATGGCTGTGGTTGGAGATAAGTGTCCTCAGAGAATCAGTAAGGCTAAACCAGACAATTCCACAGAATCTCAGCTGTGTTGACATACTGGAAATGCTTTGCCCATTGTCTATGAAACCTTTGTTTTTTCAGAGATGTTCTGGACACAAGCAGCTTTCCAGCTGCCATGATAACCTCCAGTCCTGTGTTTTCATGTCTTTTGATTGGGTCACTTGGCAGGTTTCCATGGGCAAAAGTGGGAGGAGACAAAACTTTTCCTCAGTAGGTTTATATGGTACTTTCTCAGAAACTTGCTTCTGACCTCCTGTTACAAATGGTATGGAAAAATTGTCAGGAATGGTGGACAGCACCTGCCCCCTGGCTGGGTGAGGTTGGTCAAGCAGAGATACCAGGTGAGAACGTTATTCTGGCACAGCTTGCAGGGCTGGTGGTTTTGAAAGACAACTTTTCAAAAGATAATCCACCAGAAATCAATCTCTGCCTGTTGCAGAAGAGCAAATAGGTTTCCTCAGATAATGTTTTCTCCCAAGCATGTGCAGATGTCCCCAGCATGAGGCATCTGGATCACATGAAACACCTTTTAGATGTGTCAGCTGCAATGAGTGAATTTTATGTCACAGTGAATTTGCATAATTGGAAATGTAAATTTGTTGGGTTTTTTAAGAATGTCAGCTGAAAGTGCTGCTATTACATGAGGTATGAAAGAACTTCATCCTCCTCCACCAGAGAACGCTGCTCAGGAAAGTTGCTTGCCTGCCCTCTGTGTTCCTCTTTCCATAAAAGAAAAGGTGACCCACTATTGAGTTATTGATGACTGTAGACACTGTTGAGAAGCTGGGTAGTGCAGTCTTACAGCAAATGTCAGGCTTCTCTGCTCACTCAGAGCCGTGTCCTTGCCCTCAGTGCTCCCCTGGCCACTAGAAGGGATGACACAGCAGAGAAGTCTCCAGTGCCAGTGGCAAGTACCTGTATCACACTGCACCACAGCTGTGGTGCTGACAGCCAACTGTGGCTGGGAGTGTCACATCCAGAACAAGTGTTTTACCATTGAAAAATCGAAAATTTGGTGCTTACCCCCTTCTTTTGTACGATTTTACTTCTAAGGCCCAGTAGTGACCTTCAGTCCTGCTGAGTACCTTGAGGCATGTCTTAGACTGGAGGCTCTCTGAGCACTTTCAAGCCTCTCTTAGACTGAGGGTTTCCCACTAAGAGGAGGCAAGGACATCATCTATTTTCCAGTTATACTTGGGTGTGAGTGTCTGTAAGAGCTTCAGCTGCTGCAGCCCTGGAATCCAAGCCCGGAGTGAATTAATCTGTATCGTTATCTGGTGAATATGTTTATACAGTGCCCACCTTGGTTTCACCACCTGCCAGCTCTGAAGCAGCTTGTTGGCTTGCACCATAGACTCCAACTTCACATCTTAATTCCTTCAAGTGCTGTTGCTCACAAACATTGAGATCTGCCATGGCAGATCTTTGATGCAGGGCTTTCTAACCATCAGCTGTTTGCAGTTCATCAGGTGGCAGAGCGTGTGGAGGCACTGGGCCAGTTTGTGATGAAGACCAGGAGGACCCTGAAGGGCCATGGAAATAAAGTTCTCTGTATGGACTGGTGCAAAGACAAGAGGAGAATTGTGAGCTCTTCCCAGGTATGCTGTTGGGCAGATGTTTTTCAGAGCTACTGTTGGGCACCACACAAATCTTGTGGCTGTGCTGTGTGGCACCCTTTGCGAGTGATACCTGTGTCTGTTGGAAATGTTTGCAAGATGCCCTTAAAGCAGTTTGTTGCCAATGGATTTCTTCAGAAAGCACAAATCCAAGTTTCTGATCACTGCTACACCTGTTGTAGCTAATAACCCTAGTATTTCTCGTCCAGTTGTATGCACATTTTTCACCATATTCCTTATTAAAATAGAAAAGAGAGAGAACTCATCTGAAGGCTACTTTTATTGCCTTGTTCTTTACAGATAAAATATTTAGTAATGGAAGAATGTTGATTCTTCTTGAGATTTCAGAGCACAGAAATTTCTTCTGCGGTCTGGATGAGTGGTGTGACCCTGAAAGCCTGAAACATCCTGCCAAAATTACTGCACTTACTTGGGCATTTTGAGAAACAATCCTAACACCTGTTCAAGACCAGTCTCATGAGCAGGAGGAGCTAATGAGATAATTACTTTCTAGATCCCCTGGTCCATCCTGAGCCCAGTAGGGCAGTGGGTGAGCTTGTTGCATCTCACAGCTGTTCATTGACCTATAGGAAATCTGTCAGGGGTCTCACTTGAGGGATAAAAATAGGCAATCTGCATTGCAAGCCACCTTCAGTAACTGAGTTTTTACCATTCATGGTGATCTCAGCAAAGAAAATAATTTTAAATAATTAATGTCGCATTTTTTAAAGTAGTTAGGCTGTCAGTGTGTAGATTGGGAAGCTGAATAGGAAAGTTGTAATGCATTTTTTTTTTTTACTCTAAGAACTGTAGTGAGTTCAGGTACAGCAACGATTGCTGCTCAGTGACAAACACTTTGCTTTCATGATACGAGGAGGGTAACGGTATTATGAGCATAAAGTATCTGGCATAAGTGTAGCTGGCATGCACAAAGTGCTTGTGTTGCTCTGTGTGGAGTCTTCTCAATGGCTATTTACATCAGTGGATAATTTAAGGTTAAGTAAGTGTAGTGAGAAGTAAAGGGAAAATGAAGAACAGATGAATAGATGAATAAAGAGTGCAATGTCCATAAATAGTCCCTGCGAGTGCTGCCAGCTCAGCAAGTGATTTGTCATACAGGCCACCCCTTGTAGTGCTAAGGCCCCGTTCTTAGCCACTGACAGCTTGGAAGAGGTGACCAGCTTTGCAGGTGGTGCTCATGGGCTGGAAGAAACACATCATGGCAAAAAGGAGGCAAGTGAGGGCTGAGTAGTGGTAGTTTCCTGAGGAGAGAGATAGTTCTGTCCATGGCATGTGCTGAAAGGGAGAGAGGTTCTCATAAACCCACTAAAAAGTAAGGGAATAAAACAAACAAAAAATCAGTCTTTTAGGCTGACATCGGTCATCTCAGTGAGGAGGAGATTTGCTTTTCTTTCGACCAAAGGTATGACCCTCCTGAGGAGGGTCTCCTTGGTGCTTTGCTGTGACTGTTGTGCTGTTGTTAAAATGGAGGGAAAAAAAATAATGACATAATGACTAGGGGATGGAAATGAGCAGCAGAGTTTTCCCCGGATCTGGGAAGCAGGCTGACAGCTGCGTTTCTGGAAGACCTCAGTTTCTCTCTCTGTTTGTGTACTTTTATTTAGGATGGGAAGGTGATCGTGTGGGATTCCTTCACTACCAACAAGGTAAGTGAAACTTCAGCAAAAGTCGGATTTCTGTGCACAGGGCAGATGATGATGGGACGAGATGGAGGGCTGAAGGGTTCACAGGTGTCACAGGAGGCAGCAGGATGATGGGATAACATGGCAACTTTCACCAGCACCTCAAACCAAGGAGCCAAAGGGCAAACCACCTCCCTTGACCTGTCTCTGAGCAAAGTCCCTGTCGGGGAACTGGGGTTTGTCATGGTGTCCAGCAGGAGGCTCTGATCCAATCTCTTTGCTGAAAGGGAGGGGTCCCAGCTGGGGGCAAAGCAGAGCAAAACAGAGTTCCTCTCTGGGTAACCCTGATGCCGGGTGCCTTGTGTCATCACCCGGGATCCTTCAGCCATGGTGGTGGCTGTGAAATGGTGCTGCTGCTCCTCCAAGCCCTGCCAGGGCTGCCTCACAGCACCCTGCTCTACACAGCTGAGAGAAAACAGCTTGTTTGTAACTCACTTTTACACCTGCAGCAGTGGGGAACTTTTACAACACTGAGTAACCCAAAGAAAACATTCTCTGCAATCACTTTGGGGTGCATGAATAAGGTGGAAAAATGTCAGGGGGGAGCAGCGATCCTCCTGCTGCTCTGCTGGGTTCTGCAATAAGGGCTGTCCCAGACTTACCTGTGAGTTATGGCTGGAGAAGGCTGTCCCACAGAGATGCTGAACTGGCTACTCTACACTGTTTTCCTTGCACTGACTAGAGAAAGAGTGAGACCTGGGTTTAAAGAGGTGCTGTGTTTCAGGAACACGCAGTGACGATGCCCTGTACCTGGGTGATGGCGTGTGCATATGCCCCATCTGGATGTGCCATTGCTTGTGGGTAAGTTCCCAGTTTCCACAGCTGCTTACACAGAGAAGCTTGATTTGTAGTGGTGTCCCAGTGCCTTCAGAGGCTGACAGCTACAAGTTCATGTGCCTTTATTGTGGGTGGAAGGACTACATTCAGTGCCTCTGACTGTTTCCATAATGGCTTGTACACATCATCTCCACTGACTTCAGTGCAGTAACATTTGTTGTGTAAGCATGGAAAATAATCCTTTTGCAGCATTTATATCATGGGTTAGGAATTCTGCATGCATGCAACTTCTTGTTGGTGTGTGTTCCAGTTTGGTTGTGTGTGTTGGATGTATCTTCTAAGGGAGAGTGTTATTAACCCTGTTCTTACTTTGCAGTCTCTCTTCTATGACTTAGAGAAGGTTAGCTGTTAATGATTACCAGCACATGAATAGATCTTGCCAAGACGGGGTGGGGAGAAGTAACCCCATCATTGATAATCTTCTCCAAGTTTTCTGAGGCCTCAGGTTTGAAAAAATTTAGTTTATGCAGGGGAGAAAACAAAGAAATGAGATGCTGGCAAAACATCTTTTGAAAAGGGACTGGGTGGATCAGACAAAGCGAGCTTGGGGCAAGAAAGGAACAAAGGGAGACTTTATTGTGCAGCTTGCAAATCTAGAAAGCAGCAGACTGAGACAGACTGGCAGACTCCATAAATGTGTGTGGAAAGGGAGTCTGGAAACTGTATGATTTTGAATAAAACTTGAAGAATGAAAAGATAACTGTCTTCACACTTGTAAGGGAGACAGGGAGGATATATGTGCATTTCACTACTGAAATGTGTGTTTCTGTTGTGTTATCCATTAAGTGCTCTGCACATGATATAAGGCACAGAACCAGCAGCTCGGAGATGCTGAACTGGCTACTCTACACTGTTTTCCTTGCACTGACTAGAGAAAGAGTGAGACCTGGGTTTAAAGAGGTGCTGTGTTTCAGGAACACGCAGTGACGATGCCCTGTACCTGGGTGATGGCGTGTGCATATGCCCCATCTGGATGTGCCATTGCTTGTGGGTAAGTTCCCAGTTTCCACAGCTGCTTACACAGAGAAGCTTGATTTGTAGTGGTGTCCCAGTGCCTTCAGAGGCTGACAGCTACAAGTTCATGTGCCTTTATTGTGGGTGGAAGGACTACATTCAGTGCCTCTGACTGTTTCCATAATGGCTTGTACACATCATCTCCACTGACTTCAGTGCAGTAACATTTGTTGTGTAAGCATGGAAAATAATCCTTTTGCAGCATTTATATCATGGGTTAGGAATTCTGCATGCATGCAACTTCTTGTTGGTGTGTGTTCCAGTTTGGTTGTGTGTGTTGGATGTATCTTCTAAGGGAGAGTGTTATTAACCCTGTTCTTACTTTGCAGTCTCTCTTCTATGACTTAGAGAAGGTTAGCTGTTAATGATTACCAGCACATGAATAGATCTTGCCAAGACGGGGTGGGGAGAAGTAACCCCATCATTGATAATCTTCTCCAAGTTTTCTGAGGCCTCAGGTTTGAAAAAATTTAGTTTATGCAGGGGAGAAAACAAAGAAATGAGATGCTGGCAAAACATCTTTTGAAAAGGGACTGGGTGGATCAGACAAAGCGAGCTTGGGGCAAGAAAGGAACAAAGGGAGACTTTATTGTGCAGCTTGCAAATCTAGAAAGCAGCAGACTGAGACAGACTGGCAGACTCCATAAATGTGTGTGGAAAGGGAGTCTGGAAACTGTATGATTTTGAATAAAACTTGAAGAATGAAAAGATAACTGTCTTCACACTTGTAAGGGAGACAGGGAGGATATATGTGCATTTCACTACTGAAATGTGTGTTTCTGTTGTGTTATCCATTAAGTGCTCTGCACATGATATAAGGCACAGAACCAGCAGCTGGTGTTGTGCTGGGATCCCAGGGACCAGGGCAGGGCTGATTGACTCTGGCTCTGGAAAAGGATCAGACACAAGTCAGACCCTTTAGAAGCGAGTCCCACATCTGGCCAGGGAAATACAGCTTAACTGGGGCAACTGTCCAGGAGGGACACAGCATCTACAGAGGTCAGTGATTCTGTTGCCCCTTTCCCCAAACTCTTCGAAAAGCCCTGTCTTCATATCCATGACTTGCTATCTCTTGCTGTCTGTTCTATAGGAGGTAGGTCAAGTTTATTAAAGTAGATAAATAATGATGCTTAAATACTGATCCTCGCCAGGACAGATGTCAGCAGAAAAGTGGCAGTTTGGGTGTGTGTGAAACATTAACTCTGAGGTGACTGCTGTGTCACCTCCCAGTTTGTACTTTCATGAGGTTTCATTCAGTGCCATTTATAAACTTGATGAGGGTAAAATATCCTGAGGTGCAGCTGTTGAAGTTGATTAAAGCAGCCAGGCTGGGAGGCAGCTGGGGCTTCCCTGTGCAGGGAGATCCCTCTCCACACAATACAGGGAAGTCGGTGCTTGCAAGGGTTTGGCAGCACAGCACTGACAGGTGGTTTCCTTCTTATCACCACTCGCCTTTTGTCGTTGCAGTTTTAACCAGTTCTCCTCTCTGTTACTGCTATTATTACTCTCTGTAGCGGCCTGGACAACAAGTGTTCTGTGTACCCTCTGACATTTGAGAAAAATGAAAATATGGCTGCAAAGAAGAAGTCGGTCGCAATGCACACAAACTACTTGTCTGCCTGCAGCTTCACGAACTCAGACATGCAGGTAAATGCATCCTCTCTCTGCTGCTCCCCATCATCTCACATGACCTGCGCTCACACATGCTGCAAGAGACCTTCCTTGCACCTGTGGTGCCCAGGGCCACGTCCTGCCCCATAGGGGCTGCTGGAAAACCCTCCCTGAGGTAAGGAAGGTGCTGCAAAAGCTGCTGGAAGGAAATGCAACTTGTCATGCCTGCACTCTGCCCCTTCTGCAGGGGCAGCCCATTGGTACCTGTGTGTGCTCTGCACACTGGGGTTGTGCTGCCTTGTGCTTTTAGGAGCACAAGCTAACACAAATAATTAAAACCCCAGCTGAAATAGGACTAGCTTGGATATGTGTTAGGCAGCTGGTGGAGACCATCTTGTTTGCCTGCCTTGTCCTGGATGTCCAGCCAGCTTTGTTTTGTTTTCATTCGTAGTATTTTTTGTTTGTACCAAGTATTAGAGCTTGAGGATGGCCCCACAGGGCCAAACATGTTGTCTGCACATGCAGTGGTGTGTTCCCTCGAGGGAAAGGAGTGATGCTCTCCCCATCTCACAGACAGGGGGTCGGAGCACAGAGGACCACAGTGGGAGACAATGGCAAAGCCAGGAACTAACTGCAGATCTTCTGAAACCAGGCCAGCCTTCTTCTGTAGTGAATAGCTAAATATCTCTTTCTCCAGGAACACGAAAGATGATGAAAGCAGCTAGGATAATCCTCTTGTCCTCTCTGGGTTTTTTTTAGTTTAATTGAAGCTCTGCTCAGTGCAGCTCTGCAGCAAAACAAGCAGCAGAAGGGAGGATTTTCATTGCTCTCCGTGTCAGCAGAGCTGCTGGAAAGGGAATACCTTGTCTCCTTCTTCCAGATATTTGGGGCTCTTCTGAAGGAAATATCAGCTCTCATTGATTCTATTTCAGGACATGAGATGTCCAAGAGTATGTTGTTATTTGTCATTCTCTGGTTTCTGTAATGACTGAGGTGCTAATTTAAGTCCATTGCCATGGCAACAAGTGGTGGAGGTACCGGCGCTGGGCTTGCTTAGCCCTGACCTCACTGTGCAGGAGCCCTTGTAGCCAGAGCAGTCTAAATTAAGTGGAATGTTTTTGATGAGATAGAAAACCAGTGTTCTCTTCTCCTGTGCACACCTATATGCATTGTGATTAAAAAATAGAAGAACAGTTGCTTATTTTTCACCAAAAACAAAAAAGGAAAGAAAAGTTGGGTCTTTTATCTCCATATCAAACACAGCAAAGTGCACTGATACTGCAGGTGATGTGTTACTGTTGTTAGATAACATCACAGTGGATTTAGGTGCTTTACATTCAGTGAGTCAGAGATTTTTCTGAAGATTTTAAAAGAAATTTTCTTGTGATTGATAAGCTTTATAGCACTGCATGTTAGTCCTGAAACAAATGCAAGCAAGTGGGTGGGCCAAGCTTCTGTTAGAACACTGATATGTAGAGGCTCCTGGAGAATCCCAGATTTCTTACCTCTTTCTTTTTACATAACAGCCTCAGAATTACAATTACTCAGTAACTCTGAGGGCTCTCAGTGCCACAGGGCACTGTGCAGGAGCTTTCCCAGCTGCGTGTGGAGCAGCTCTGCTCTCCCAGTTCGTGTCACTGAGGAATGTGGTACCTGTCCCGGAGCACCCTAGCATGTGGTGCAGGTGTCCCCCAGCCTTGTGCCCCCGCAGCACCCCCTGCTAGGTGCTATAAGTGCTGCCTCTGCCTTGGCTGCTCTCCTACACCACAGCTCAGTTTTCCCTCAGAGGACTGAGGGACAGGGTAGGAATTCAGGAGTTGGTGTGCCCATGGGCGGTGCAGTGGAAAGAGGAGATCTGAGGGTGGTCCATCATAGAGTAAAGCCCCTCTCAGGCTGTGTGGCTGCAGGAGGAGGTCCTGTCCTTGCTCCTCACTGTGTTTCCACCCTGGATCAGGACAAGCAGAGCTGGGCAACCCGCAGACCTTGCTCTTGGTGCCCCAAATCACTCTTGCCAGAGCAAGCCTCCCCTGCCTCAGCACACAGAGCCTCGATTCCTAAATTAGGTATCTGCAGCTCTGCAGTGTGATAATGCTCCCCACGTGGCAGTGCTGCGTGTGTATTAATAGCAACAATTAATTGGGATCTCAAGTGTTTTGCATAGGGCAGGCAGCCATACTCCCAGTGCAGCAGGGCTGAGGGGCAGGATGAGGCCCATGGTAATGGCAGAAGAGGCACAGGTGAGGTTGGCCCCTCTGCCCTCACCATGTGTGTCCCTGCTGTCTCCTGCCCGGCACAAGTGCTGCCTCATGTTGCCAGGCTAGAATCCACGTCCAGCACTGCTGAAGCATTTAATGCTACAAGTCAGCATCTAGCAGCAAAGATTGTCCATTTCCATCTTGTTTTGGATATTTGGAGTTTGGTTTGGTTTGGTTTTCAATAGAAACACCCTGAAGTTGAATCCATAACGTTTCTCTTTAAGCATTAGCTGGAGCTCGGGATTGCCAAGAAACCCCTTAACAAACCTCTTACACCTTTAGCTACTCTTGTTCTCCTCATCTCTTTCTTACATACTATTACAAGAGCAAATCCTCAGGGCTGAAAGTCTTCATTCCTCAGCCAAGCACAAATATTCCTCAGAACAGAGAAGTTCATTGATCTAGGCTCAAGAGCTGGCCAGAAAGACAAGTCAAGACTTTCTTCCTCTATTATCATCTCCGAGCAGTAGCGTCTGGCTACTGCAGGATTTGGAACAGTCTGTTCTGCAGCTTTGCAGACCTCTGGTTGTGGGAGGAGTTTCTGGAGCATCTGTCAAACATGTTCAGTGTTTAACCTTTTGCAACTCTGTGAATCATTTCATGATTTTGCGGTGATTTTCTTCTTGAATAATATTTTCTTTCTAACTTCCAACTGCCCACTGGGATCCCTTGAGTTTCCTCATTGACCACAAGGAAAACCTGTGTACAAGACTGAGAGCCCTGCCAAGGTCACCCTTGCCTCCACACCAGTGCACAGGGACCCTTTCAACCTACAGAATCTGTGATTGCATAACAGCCCCGGGTGCCAAGGGGAAGTTTTGAACAATTGAGCATCATCAGGATTTAACCACAATAACAAGCACTGATCACATGTGCTCTCTGCAAGAGCTGCAGCAGCTGAGGGAAGCTGGGAGCTATGGTCAGTCAGTGTAATTTCAAGCCCTTTCACACACAGATGGTTTTGGACAAGTGAGAGGCAATGGACTTATCAAACAACTGTCTAGACAGGCTTACTTTCCTTTCAGAAAATCCATGTATTAAGCCAAATCAATTGTGTTTAACCTCACTATTTCAAGCAGAAAAACAATAATTCAGGGAGTTAAACAGGTATACTTAGCTCCAACACTTCTTGCTTGGGTTGAATTCCAGCAACCTAAATATGGATAGGGTTAAATACAGAGGCAGACAGGAATACCAGTCTGGTTCTACCTCCTTTTTGGATATGGAAATTCCACCAGATCCTTACTGCCATCAGGTCTCCAAACCCCACTGCACAAAACTGACCATTATTGAACCACTGGGTAGGTAGAGCTGTGTCAGTACAGCTCTCCTTTCCTCTCTAACCCCTTTCCTTAAAAATTAAAAACATAAACTGTGCTTAGATTCACATTGGTTTTATGGCTTTGATTTATTGCATATTAAAGCAATATTTGTGAACTTGAAGATCATCTGTTCATTTGTGTATTGTGACTCTTCTCACATCCTATAGATCCTGACAGCAAGTGGAGATGGAACTTGTGCTCTGTGGGATGTTGAGAGTGGGCAGCTTCTACAGAGTTTCCATGGTCATGGAGCTGATGTCCTGTGCCTGGACCTTGCCCCTTCTGAAACGGGAAATACATTTGTCTCTGGGGTAAGCAGGAGCTTCCTATCGTAATATAAAATTAAGAAATATGGAAGGAAAAGGCAGCAAAGCAGGAGGCTTGTGATCTTGTTGAGAGAGTGCTGGAGTATGTGTTGGAAGCCCCAGTGAAATCCACTCATTGCAAGCACATTTTCCAAGCTGGAGCAAATTAAACCCCTGACTGTGGGGTCAAACCCACCCAGCCAGTCTGACTGCAGTTCTGCTTACTTAGCAAATTCCACCCCACACCAAAAGCAATCCAGCCCAGGATCATAACAACGCCTCTCCCGGGAAGGGAAAGGCTCAGAGTCAGAGCAACAGGCTTGTACTGCAGCAGAGGTGTGAGCCCCTGTGGACAACTTCCCACATTTGGCTTCTTTCTTGTGCCCAGCTCCCTGGAGCCAAACAGGCTGTGCCAGGTGGCTGCTCAGGGCATCAAAGTGGGGCTGCAAATAACATGTGTGCTGCTGTGTCTCTCAACTGTTCCCCAAAAGCCAAGGGGTAGCTTGGACCTTGGCTAAACCCTCATACAAGTTGCAGCAGGGAGATGAGGTGTGGCCACATCTTCAGCTGTTGTTGAGTGCCCTGTGCCTTCCAGCAGTACCAGAGGCATTTAAAGCCCCCTTCATCAGTTGAACATTGTCCACTCCCTGTCCTGACCCAGAAGGACACATGAACCTCACTGAGGCTGCCAGAATGGTCTGGGAAAGTACCCAGGGCATCTTCCAAATCTTGTCCTGCTGCTGAGGGATCACTATTCCTGGGCAGCAGAGCCATTGGCATGCAGCCTGGCAGTGAGGCAAGCAAGGTGCAAAGGTTACTAGGATGGGCCTCAGCTACTTTGTTACGTGGTCCTGGTCTTTCCCACCTCAGAAATTGAGTGTGCAGGAGAGAGCTGACAGGAATTAAGAGATGACCTATCTTAACGGAGGCAGGTTGCTACCAGTAATTTTGTTGAAGGTTCCTGGTTTCTAAGACTGGCCAGAGAGCTCTTGCTGGCCAAGAGCTGGTCCTATGCTTGCTGATGGAAATGGCCCTCATGCCAGAGGGTGCCAGCTACAGATTAGGGGATACCACTCGTGCTTGGAGTCATGGTCCTATCCCTACACAATAAACCTGGACCTCTTCTGTTATGGCTCTCTTGGCAAGTTTGGCCCATCAGGAGCAGAGCCCAGCACACTGGCCCAGTTTGCCTGCTGCTAGCACAGCTGCTCTGAAGCGTGACTGAAAGCTAATTCCATCCAAGTGCATTGCTCCTCCTGGGCCTTCCTGTCACTGAGCTTGCTTCCCAGAAAGGATAGATTTGTTCTCCCTGGGAACAGCTTAGCTTATTATAGGGCAAAGAATTGCAAGCAGCTATGGTAGTGCTAAGAGAATATGTCATACTTGTGTTGATGTAGTAGCTTGGGCATGTCCATGCTTACAGGGACTTGCTTAATTCATCACATGCACAGTGCTACCTCAAGTGAAGATCAGACTCATATCATGTCAACGCAGTCATGGCCAAAACAGTGCAACCAGGAGGTAGGGTAGGGTAGGATAGAGAGATTCCCTCTGGACTGTGCCTGTGTGATACGGTAACCTTGAGCTGGAGTCACCTACATCAGTGTGTACATTGAGTGCTGTTACATTTAATGGCTGGAAATCCCAACCCTCCTGGGTGAGCTCAGGGCAGCATCCCAGGCTCTTGTGCTCAGTTACCGCTGGGCACAGCTCTTTGGGGCGAGTTGGGTGGCACTCAGGGGGCACATCTCTCCACAGGTTGTTGCTGGTTTCTCCTTCAAAAACTTAGGAGTCAAAGCACCTGCTTGTCAGATTGGTCTTTCCCCAAACTCCCAGAGAGGTCAGAAAGAGCAGTGCACATGGAAGCAATACTGGGCAGGGCTTGGGCTCTGCTGGGGATTGAGAGGGAAATATGCAGAGTCCTATTTGGTTTCCCCTGCACAGAAACCACAAGTTGGTACAAAGGCACATTACCCCTTATGACATCATTAGTAAAATAACTGGCATTGCTTTTTAACCAGAGAATGCCAGAAAAAAAGAAGACAGAAAGATGTGGATTGTGAAAAGAGGGTTTAATTTCACTAGCAATCACATTTGCTTAGAAATAAGTACCATGTGTGGCACGGGCTGCTGGGCAGGATGTGCTGGCTGCCCACCCAGCCTCAGCCAGGCTGAGCCCCCCGGAGCTGGGCCTGTAGCCCCTCAGCAGGGCCACACTGACGAAAATCCCCTGTCAGTCTTGGCAGCAAAGCCTGTGCTGTCCCCTGGCAGCGGCGGTGCCAGCAGGGCGGCCCTGCGGCCCCTGCCCCGGGCGCTGCGGGGTCCCCGGGCTGAGCCCCCTGCCCGGAGCAGCCTGCGCTGAGCACCTCGCAGCGAGCACCAGCCAGGAAATCACCTTCCCAAGGCACAGCCTGGGAGGGCAGGGCAGAGCTCCGCAATGAGCCCAAACGCTGCCGTGCTGCTTTTTTCATCCCAGTGGCGCCGCTGGGCCCGCGGGTTCCGAGCCGAGCAGGGGTTTGCTCCGGCGGCAGCCCCCCCGGACGCACTGCTTGCACTTGCTGTTCCTGTGTGTGAAAAGAATCAGTTATAAAACTTTAAATGCCGGGTATGAATTTTTCATATTGGGCACGTGAAGTGGTAAGGGAGCAAGTCAGGGATGCAGCCCAGTGGCCTGGTGGGACTGGGGCACAGGTGCAGCAGCAGGGCTGGGAGTGCTGGGTAGGGTGGGACTGCCCGTGCAGCCCCCCGGGCTGCCCGCACCCCTGTGCTGCAGGGCACTGCTGTGCCCGGCTGGTCTGTGGCACCAGAGGGGCTCCAGCCCTCTGCTGTGCTCTGCTCCTGGCACCAGCGCACCCACACAGCTGGTCCTGGGGCTGCTGTGCCGGTTAAATCCCCTCAGAGCTGTGGTGTTCGGAGCCTTGCAGTGTAGCTGGCCTTGGTGACGCGTATCGGGCACACGAGGGCTGAATGGCATCGTTTGAACAACTGCAGTGAATTATTTTGTCTTCTTAGGGATGTGACAAGAAAGCCATGATCTGGGATATGCGCACTGGTCAGTGCATCCAGTCATTTGAAACCCACGATTCAGATATCAACAGTGTCAGGTCAGTATATTTCTGGGACAGGACACATTTGCGATGTTGAGCAATGTGCTGCTTCTATTTTTGCAGGCTGACCTCATCCAAGTCATGTAATGTGTTCTGATCTTTTTTTACCCATGCGCAGATATTACCCAAGTGGAGATGCTTTTGCCTCTGGCTCAGACGATGCCACGGTACGTAAATTCTGCAGCCTGATGTCAGGAAACTCTCTTCCTTCCCATTTCAGGTTTTCCTAAAAGACTACGTCATGTCCACAGAGGACTTTGAGTGACTAAACTGGACCTGTGACACCAAAGTTGCAGAAGTAATAATGCTATAATATAATCTATGTTAAGTACTATATATAATGTGATAGGGAAAATCTAGTAATATTTTGTAGGTCACCTCTACAAACGTTTCTACAGGAGGTACTGTCCAAATATTCATTTCAGATTTTCTATGTTTTGAAGTTTCATGATCAAAATTAGTTGTCTTACTGGAAGAGATTTGGCCTCATAGAGTTGCTGGGAGGAACAGATGAAATGCTGCAGTTTGTGTCAGAAGGAGCAGCGCAGAGTGTGAGCACGAAGGGAGCCTGCACATGGGTGAACCCATCCCAGCAAGCAGAGGGGCTGTGGGCTCAGTGTGGAGCTGGGCAGACTGTGTTGGCTGTCCCCTGCAGCCCCCAGCATCCCGAGGGCAGCCCCAGGGTGGCCTTGGCCACATGCTTCTCCTTCCTGTCAGCCTGACTCACTGCCAGGGCTCTTCACTGCAATGAGTCACTGCATCCAGGTCATCCTCGATGATACAATTGCTATCACTTGATCTTCCTTATCTATGAGCAAGCTGTTAGGAGGAGCACAGGATGTACTGACAAGAAGTTTAAGCCAGCACATTGTTTGTAAAATGCCACTTACCTCCTGGTGCCTTCAGGCCCCTGAGTGATTCGCATGGCTGGTGGCTGCAGCTGGTGGGTCCCCATAGGGGACCAGGCTCTGCCTGTACCACAGCTCTGCAGGGACCAAGCTGGCAGTTAAGTGTAACTTGAGAGCAGACATTTGGGAGGCACCTGGCACCTTGTTTCTCCTGTTTATTCAAACATCACACCAAGCTTCGTGAGCATGAAGACTCTTTCTGAAGTATGCTGCTCTCAGAGCATGTTTTGAGTCTGCTCCAATACGAGCTAAACTCAGTAGAAACATTCCCTTTGTCTTCACTGGATGTGGAGAACTTCCAGAGCTCTTCTGGAGAGATTGTACCTTGCTTTTAGGCTGTAAAAGCTGTGATTATAAATTAATACCTCTCACTTTGTGGTGAGCCCAGTGCCTCTCAGCACATTTGGGTGCAGTACTGTTAGCACTTGAGATGCTGAGGGAGTAAGGTGGAGAAATTGTCCATCATTAAATTCCAATGAGAGCACTCTCTTTTTATGCCCAGTACCACAGACTCTGAGCTTCTGTGCTTATTAATTTATTTGATGGGTTTTTTCTCTCAACTATTTCTGACACCTTCATCTTGAACAGGAGAATGGGAAATTCCATCTCTGTAGTTTTGACAAAGGTTTTGGCAGTTTCCATCTACCTAATTCTTTAAATGCAGAGGTTGGTGTTTTCAGCATTATGGACTGATATGCTGCCTGGTATCCTTGACCTGATTTGTATACTCAGGAATTTCGAGGAAAGGATAATCCTGACTATCTGGAGGGAAACCATAAAAGTGTGCTCACATGGCAGGGTTGTCACCTGCGGTGACCCTGACTCCCTATGAGGACAGTCTGATGGAATTATTCATCACTGTGGAGCAGTGGGAGACTTGGACTTCTCATACCTGGCAGCTCCCCACTGCCCTGCAAATGAAACAGCCTCTTCTTTATGTGCAGGCTTGAATATCGGCCATTTTTCATTAGTAAAGTCTTAATGTTAACAAGCCCATCTGGCCAGTGTTTGCTTAATTTATTGAGGAAGGTTTTCAGTTCAAATAGTTTCAAAAGTGTGTGTTGATTTCAGGGCTAACAGACTGCCTTTCTGCCTGGCAGTGAAGCCTGGTCTGTCTATACATGATTCCCATGTTACACAAGCCTGAGGATGCTGGCAAATGATTACAACAGGAAGCACAAGTTGTAGGGGTGATTGGGGATTTTCCATGAGAAATGAAAATCAAAGCTCTGTATAAAAATATTTTATTTCACTTAAATTACTTTCAGTTATGGTCTGTCAGAAAAAAAGAGGCCTCACAGAAGGGCAGGGGCTGTTTGCTATCCTGCCTTACTCAGAGCAAGGTCTTCCATCTAGGCTCCCCCATGCCATGCAGTCCATGTTCTCAAAGATGACTAGAGATTTAATACTCAGTCTCCCAGACTCCAGGTGTGGCCAAACTGGTGTCTCCTCACACCCCTCCAAGAAGGAGGATGCCCTACTATGTAGGAAACCACAGTGGGGCAACAGGAGGCTGGGAGGAGTTTCAGAGAGTAGCCCTGCTCCAAAGCCCACCACACATCTCTTTAGAGCAGGACGGGCTTTGAGAAGTGGCTTGGGAAAGCAAAGTCCTCACTCAATTTATACAAAAAAAAAGCCTTGTGTGGCTGAGATCCCTGTTAGACTCCAGAGGAGTCCTAGTTACAGCAGGCAGAAATAGTAGAAGGAAAGAAGCCAAGCAGCCACTTTCTGTGATGCTTGTTGGGCTGCAGTCCTTCCCACTCCTGGTTTTTCAATGAAATGTAGTAGCTATTGACTCCAGCCTTTACTGAGGCATGTTTTGTTTGTTGTTTTTTTCAATCCTAGTGTCGTTTATATGACCTCCGTGCAGACAGAGAAGTAGCAATCTATTCCAAAGAGAGCATCATTTTTGGAGCATCCAGTGTGGACTTCTCTCTCAGTGGTGAGACCCGAACTTTGGAGGTTATCTTAGTGGTGGGATTTGAGGACAACTGTAAAACTTTGCCAGTTTAATTTGAGAAAGCTTTTTTTATTAACAATTATTAAAAGAAGTACTACGTAGGAAAAGAAACATGCATGGGAGCCTTTTTTTTTGCCTCTGTAAAAATAGTTGCTCTTTGAATAACCTAGCTGGCTATTGCTTCATTGTAGCAATGAAAAGTATTTTTCTGGCCCTACAGAAGGCAGGAAATGCTTTGCCACTAACTATAGCAGGGCTGGAATTTCAAAACAATGATTAAAAACGTTTCAAAGGAAACATGAAATGTAACTAGACGATTACGCACACTTATATGAATAGTTTATAAAAGGATAATAAATGATTAATCAAAGTACGTTAGAGGAGCACGAAAGCAGAGAGGTTGCCATTTTTCAGTACAGATCTGGAGACACGAGCTTGAGTCTTCTCTCTCCTGTCCCAGTACAACTTCTTGTGTAAAATATTATTACCCTGCATAAGCTGTTGGAGTGCTCTTTGGCCTGCTGTGATTTGGAGTCATCCCCCACCTCTAATAACTGGGCAGATTCTATATAATTAACTCAATTTTAACTGTATTTTTAACTAAGAAATTGTAATTGGTGCAGCATTTGTATGGGTAGCTCAAGAGTGGAGCAGGGGTGTGTAGCAGGAGCACATCTGGGCTGAGGACTGCAGAGGGGGGCACAGGAAGGCTGGGCTGTGGCTGGCGGGGGGGCAGGTGTCCTGCAGGAGCCTTGGCTGCAGGAAAGAGGTGTTAACCTACAGAAGACCTCGCTTTGTAAAAAAATCTCATTCTCTTGGTAGGTCGTCTACTGTTTGCAGGCTATAATGATTACACCATCAATGTCTGGGATGTGCTGAAAGGCTCCCGTGTATCCATCCTGTTTGGACATGAGAACCGTGTCAGCACCTTGCGGGTGTCTCCGGACGGGACCGCGTTCTGCTCGGGCTCCTGGGACCACACCCTGCGGGTGAGCCTGGGAGCACCTGCCTTGGCTCCTTTCTTTCTTTCTTTGTGTGAAAAAAGGGGGTGAGGAGGAAGGGCTGTTGCAGGAAAATTGGCTCTAAAGGATATAGAACCACAGTGCAAAACATGAACAGAAAATTAAAACTTAAAAATTCCTCCGGAAGTGCCAGGTGAACTGTTAGTTAATGAAATGTTGAAGTTGTGGGTTAAATAACATCATTGCTGTTGAGACATGGTACCACTGACCTGGCTGCCTTGCCAATTCTTAATTAAACTTCTGATAGAATAGCCAATGTCATAAATGATTATTCTGTTCTCTCTCTCTGCAGATCTGGGCTTAACCTGAGATCCCATGTGCAGACTCAAACGAAGACTGATACCCCGGGCTACAAAAACTGCATAAAAAAGCTACCCCTCAAAATCAAATACTTGCTGCAGTACAGAACAGTGACACTGAACACACAGACTAACACTACTAGGTAGAAAATGTGATCTGCTTGAACACATAGCAAACATCAACTTCTAGTAAAATGAAATGTTTTTAATTATGTTTTGGATTTTTTTTTTTGTTAGAACTAGTTTAGATCATTATAAAAGGACTTTCTCTGAAGTCACCTGCATCATAGAATCGAGTATTTCAGTGCACATTATGTATTTATTTGCATGAATTGAGTTCCTTTTTAAAGTAAAAAAAAAAAAAAAAGAAAAAGAAAAAAAAAAAGGAGAAAAAAATATTCCTGATTTTATCAGGATGTAGCATAAGACTTTGGAAACATTCCATAGTAGTGCATTGAATTTTGGTGTTGGAAAGTGGAACAAAAACAATTCTGATACTTCAATGGTGTTATGGATGACTGAACCTTGGTAGTAAGTAGAGGAGCAAAGGATCTACTGTGAAGGTACTGGCTGTTGTCATAAAAGTGTATTTTTTTGTACAAAAAAAAAGTAATCCTGTCAATCCCTGTTTTTTCCTACTGTCTTTTTAGATAGAAATAAGTATTTCATCTCTGTTACCTGAATATAAAGAATCTAAATATATACAAAATTATAAACTGCAAAGATGAGGGATATGAACATGATTTACGTAATCATGAGGTAATACTTAACCAGTAGTTTCTTAGAAATTTTTAATTGTATCACTTGGTGAGTGAATTTTCTTTTACTTGAAGGAATACTACATGCTAAGCACTAAGGGGTACTACACTCTAAGCTCTAAGCACCAGTATACTGATGGTCAAATCTTTTCCAAGTCAGTCATAGTCATACTATAGTCATGATTCTTCTTTGCATTTCAAGCAGTTCATACCACTTGTGTCAGGGCAGTGTGGCTTCAATGTGTGTTAAGGCAGAATGTGCCCATTTTAAGGGCCTTCTGCAATGTCAGAGCAGTGCAAGTTCATGCAACCGTGGGTCAGATCTTATGAGCCAAATCATATGATCCTTACACTACCAGTCATCTCCCATTGGCATGGACACAGTTTTGTTGTTATTGCACTTGAGAATGAACAGCAGTGAGATGTTGAAAACCTACTGTGAGCCACACTCCTGCCAGTATTTGATTCTGTGCTCCCCAGAGCCTGCAAGCCCATCTGATCCAGGATTCTCTGGGTTTCAGGGAAGCAGTACAGCAAACCACATTGCTGCAGCACCCTGCCCTCTGTGTGAGCATCGTCATGCAAACGGGCAGGACTATCCCCCTGTGGAGCTGGTGCCATAGAACTAAGATTTAATCAGATAAAGCTGAGATCTAGTTAATTATAGAGCTATTGGGAAAGTAGATCTGCATGTATGCATTGAAAACAATTAAGACTGCAACACACTGACAGGTACTGGGTCTAAGCTGAGCAGGGGCATGTAGGGAGCAAAGTGCTGGAGTAGTGCTGGGAGCTTGCACAGTCTGGCCTTCAAAATGGAAGTGGTGAGATACACCTCTGAAAAGGCAAAATATTATTTATATTTAGATTGAAACAAGAAAACAAGCTCACTGGAGTGAGCTTGATTACAGGCTCCCTGGTCACTGGAGTTGGCTTTTCGTGTAAGTTTAATAATAATCTTATAATTCTATTTATAAGTGGGATTTTGTTGCAATTCTGTAAAAATTGTATTAAAAGCAAAGTCTCCTCATTCCTGAAAACATTAGGTTACATGAATCCATGACTAATTAACCTAGGACACTGACACTTGTATCAGCCTTCAGTCCCTAAAGAAATAGTTCAGCTGTTTTCACTTGGAAAAGTCAGCTCTGATGCTTTGCAGTATTTGTGGCAAACTATCCCTATACAGACTGAATGCACTATGGAAATGTCATATGGAGCTCACTGTGCAATACTGAGTCAATACACTGTACACATTTGATCAAAAGATTAATATAAATGTTTAGATAGTATTTATTGGTAAGATGTTTGTTTCAAACCTACTACATTGTGTTGATACTTATGAATGGCCTAAATACAATAAATTGTATTTTACATATTGAGAACATACATATAGTCATTTTTTCCTATCTGTTAGGTACTTCTAATGGTAGCTATTGTTTATGTTTCTTTGGCATTTACTTTTGCACCATACAGTTTCTTAGCTCTTTTGTCCTGCAAAAATCTGGGACAAAATCCAGATCTACCAGAAAATTGGAAAATTTCTTCTGGAAATACCCAAGGTGAGCCAGAGCAACTGAGAGCGAGCAGACCTTGGCAGGTACCTGAAACTCCATCTAAGATCCTTCTGCATTCAGGAGGCCAAAATTAGGTTTTGTTTCCCTGCCCAGAAGGATTGCTGTCTTTCTAGATCCTCATTGCAACACCCAGGAATGTACTGGAAAATGCTGAGTATGTGTTTTGTGTGTGCACAGGGTTCTCCTCGCATTGCAGTGGGGACACCAGTGAGCGCTGAGCACCACAGCACTGGTCGGGCAAACTAGATTTGCAGATCACCTTGAGATGCAGCAGTTCAGCATTCTGCCCTGTCAGTAGAGAGCTGTGCTGGGGTCAGCTGTCCTCTCCTCTTTCAGTTTTGTGGTCAG